GATATTAGCAATCAACAAAAGTGAATGTGGTTTGTACCAACGTACAAGGACTTATAAATAATTTTGAGCATTTAGAGATCCTTGCAGATAATAATGAAATCGATATTCATATTCTGAAACACATTTAACAGAAGATGTGGAAGAAAATGAAATAGATTTGCTAAGATATAAAAGCTTAAGTTGTCTTTCTAACTCTACGCACACTGGCGGGGTAACAGTTTACTTTAAAATCGACTGGAAAGAGACAAAAATTATGGAGTACTCCATTCAATCAAAGATGTAGTTGTTAGCGTGTCGATGTAAAGAGTCAATACAGACGTAACAATTGTAGCTGTGTATACATCGCCAAGTAGCTCTCAAAAAGAATTTTGTGATATTTTCCAAGAAATAATTGAACAATTACGGGACGTATCGAAGGATATTCTAATAGCCGGTGACTTCAATATCGACTGGAAGAGTCAAGGAACATATAAACGGAGAATAGAAAGTTTTATAAATGATAACTGTTTAAAGCAACATGTAGAAGAATGTACTCGTGTAAATTCGAGAACTCTAGTTGACTATGTTATAAGCAACATTCAAACAATAAGCGTTAGTATAAATAAGAGAGGATATCCACAACAGTGCAAAATTAATTGATCAAGGCTTTGAAAAAACAATAAAAGTGTTTGTGAAAAAGAAGATCATTCCAAATAAAACAAATGTAAATAGTTGGTACAATAGCCAACTTCAGAAACTTAAGAAGAAAAAATATGAGATTTATCAAGAGTCAAAAAGACTGAGTAAAATCAAAGCTGGGGTGATTAAAAAATTGCCAGAAATCAATACAATAGAGAAGTAATTAAAGCAAAAAAAATACACATAAATAAAAGAATTGTTGAGGCAAAAGACCAAAAGCAAATGTGGAACCAAATTAAACAGCTTGTCCTAAAACAAAATAAAAAACAAATAGAATCTGTGATATTTAACGGAAAACGATACTCTAATGAAGTGGACTTATCAAATGAATTCAACAAATTTTTCGTTGAAAGTGTGCAAAATATCAGAAGCTCAATTGAAGAGGTGCAATATATAGACAACGTTACCAAATCTCAAAATATATTTAAGTTTCGTAGAGTTAGGAGCTTAGAAGTATATGCAAATCGCTAAGAGTAAAACAGACTTTTATAAAATTAACCCACAAATGATATTAGATAACTGGAATGAAGTTGGTGCTACCTTGACGGAAATAGCGAATGAGTCTCTTATGCAAGGTGTTTTCCCCAGTCACTGGAAAAATACTATAATTAGCCCGACTGAGAAAGTTAGTAAGGCAGTTAAATGCGAAGAATTTAGACCAATAAACTCGTTAAAGACCATGGAGAAATATCTTGAGAAAACCGTAAAAATA